GGGGGGGGGGGGGGGGGGGGATTATTGGGTGGAGAGAGGGGCTCCGAGAGCGAGGGGACGATGGGGGGGGGTCCAGAACAAGATCTATGTTTTGATAAGAGAATGGCTCAGTTTTGGCGTGGTGGGCGATCAGGATGCAAAGCTTTTGTTTTAGGAGGAACGGTTGGATGCCATGTCCAAGCTTTTGTTTTAGGAGGAACGGTTGGATGCCATGTCCTGTCTGTAATATTCCACTGGAGGGGGAGGATCGAGGGCGAGCAGTGCTGCACGCAACTCGCCCTCTGAAAATATGTGATTTTGAGTTTGTTGTTCTTGTGAATGTCGCGTGTGTGCAGCAAGTGTTGTAGGTGTTTGCACGGCTTTCTTTCTGCTGCCGGGACCTTCTGATCGAGAGACGAGGCAAAGTGACCGCAGGACCGATCTCGGTCAATTTTTTTGCTGTCCAAGTATGGTGTATCGGTAGAAGTTGTACCTCCGGGGATCAAGCTTTGGAGGGCATGTGTCTGGCGGTGTGCGAATTGGCAGCAACGGCTATCAGTTAGCAGGAGCAGCGACAGCTAGAAGTCGGGCTTGCTAGCAAACTGTGTGTGTGTGTGTAGCGTAGCTCTGACGGCACGTTTTTTTGTTTCTTGTGCTGTTTGGGATACAACAGGGGGTGTGTGCATATATTTCAGGAAATTCTCTGCTGCTCGTTCCTTGAAACGCCGGTGTGTTTGTGGTTTTCCTCTCTCGGGCAGGCGTCGTGGTTGGGGCCAATGTCATCGAAACCTGCTCGGCTCTGCTGCCGCAAAAGCTGTCTCCTTCTCTGCACGAAACACATGTGCCAGAAAATCGCCTACTAAGGGGTAACTGCCATTCGTTGTTCAGTGTTGTTTTTCCAGTAGGCCACTTGTATCTCGCGTTGCCCAGGATAAATACTTGCGGGTGGTAACGTTGACATTTGGTGTGCTTGGTTTTAGTTTGTACTGGCTTTGTCTTTGTTTCATGCAAATTTATTACTAGAATCCTTCTTTTCTCATCTTTCTCCTCGCCTGCGTTGGCTTTTTTCGACCTTGGCGGTTTTTACCGTAGCGCCGACAATGTCGGTGTTGGAACGAACCGTCTCGTCGAGAGCTTTCCGGAAACGCGTAGTATCGTTGTACCCTCTTCGTCGAGGAGGAACCGAGTTTTGACAATCGGAGCAGTGGGTGTGGTATCTTACGTCACCCACCACGGTACTCGGCATGGTCCGCAAGATGTGCTCGACACTCCACGTCATAGCAGTTTCTGCACGTTCTTTTCATGCGGATGGATATCCGCACCATCGACAGAAACACGTCCGGCGCTACGTTAAGCCCAGGCCTTCATTGATGTGGAATGCATCCACCCCTTGTTGCAGTTCTCGTCGTCGTTGTCCCATGTACTAAAGATCGCTCTCAGCGTAACCTACCCCACGGCCTTACCTCTCTGACTCAACACTTGCAAACAGGGGTCACATAGGAGAGTGAGAGATGATAGGTGCAATACTGTCTGTGAGGTGTAGACTGTAGGCTGCGTTCTCGTGTTCTATTATAGCACGGTTGCATGAGGCAAGCTCCGTTCCCAGTGCGATACTATGCGATGTTAGGCCACGCCTTCTTGTGTGTTAAACCCGGAAGGAACGGGACACCCGCGCTTGTTTCTATGCACAGAAGACAACCAAAGGATTGAACGCCCGATGTCCAACGGTAAGATTCGAGCATCCATGAGCGACCCCACCAACGAGAACTTCTTGCCCCATCCAGTCAAGCCACCGGGATTTTCTCTCAAGGCAACGTGACATGCGACCAAAAGTCACTGAATGAACGGCAAAATATAAAATAAAATCTAACTACTTGACACCATCCATTTGTACACTCTGGGCACCTGACAGCCAAGAGCACCCCCCCGCCCATCTCCGTTTCCTAAGAATACAACAATACGGTCAGATTTGACGGCGCCTTCCCCGCGCTCAAAACAGATGACAACGTTTAAGGCGTCGTACTGGCAGCACACGCAGCCAACCGAGCTGCTGCACAAACCTCTCAGAAGAGTACCTACTTGTAGAGCACCCCCACCCACCACCTCCACAGTGTCGGCCCTTAGGATAGCTTAGGATAGCTTAGGATAGCTTAGGATAGATGCCACAACCAAACACGACATCACAGCACCGATGACACCATGCGGTTCGGTTACATATCGGTGGCGTCATCGCGGCTCATACGGCGGACATTTACCAACATTCCAACAGATGATCGCTAGCGTTGTCCAGCCGCGTGTCGGCATACTGTCGCACGACAATTTGTCGGTTTGAGCGTCTCCTGGTTAACATACCATATATGACACAAGATAATACACCCCCTGGACCGATTTTCAAAGCTCGATAACTCCACGACGAAGAGAATGCATAAACGAAACCATACATTTTCGACAAGCTCTCGACGAGACGGTTTCAACGCCGCCGTTTTCGGCGCTGTGACTGCTCCGGCAGTTGAGAAATCGAGCTTCGAAAGTCGGTCAAGGGGGTGTTTTGTCCTGTGTCAAATACGGTACACGAGCTCCTTCGCGAGAAATCAAGTTAACGAGGATGTAGGACAGGGAGGGGGTACGCAGACCATCCCTAACCCTCACCCAACTTCCCCCCGATTGCATGCGTTATCCAACATGTTTACTCAACAGAAAAACCCTCGGAAGGCCACTGCTGTGCATATTCTCTACCCTGAACAATTCACGTCATCCAATAGACAGACTGATTCCTGGGGTGAGCGCGACAGATACAGCAGCTCTCTATGCCGTGCTTCGCGATGTTTCTCCGAGTATGCTACCAAAAGACCACTCCTCCGGCCGGTACTCCCAGCAGGGGTAGTAGGGGTGTGTGACTGATCAGAAGAACACGTCGCCAGAACCGCCCGGCGGGCGAAGGTGGTCGTTGTCAGGCCTGCGGGGGAGGGAGAAAAGAAGAACAACAGGGTCAAGTGGCGGCAAGAGATGGCGCAAGGCTGCATGTAACGCTGCATGTAACTCGTCGGTGTTATAGGTTTGCTGATGGTACCAAAGCGTGAGTGGTCTTCCCTCGCCTGCGTTCTTCTCCCTTTAACACTTTTTTGTCTTCGAGAAGCATTCCAGACTAGAGACCAGATTTTTCTCGTGAGGCTATGCATACATGTCAACATTCTGGGGAAGACGCGATGGAAAATAACGAAAATACAGATACAAGGGGCCCAAAAGGCACTCTTCCGCCGTCAGAAAACGACTCTCTTTTGCACAGCGATACAACCTGCTTTCTTTTCTATTCTTGCAAACAGCGAATTCATCTCCATCCACAGACAACGAGAGCCCAGGACAACCTACATAGCAAAACGAAGTAATTATTTTTGTCTTCTACTCCGAAGTACTGCTGCAGCGTACCTCTCTACCCCGCAACACGAACTCCGCACTACTGTCAAAAAATAACGTCTACTCCCGAAGCTGATTGTCCTTCTTACCCGGCAGGCGGTCCACGAGGTCCTCCTTGTGCGGGCCCCCCTCTCCCCCCCCCACCCCTCCCCGGGACGCCGGGGCCCCACGGCTGCTGGCCTGGAATCGGCGGCCCGTATGGGTCGAACCGCGGCTCCATGTAGCCAGCCCTGCGATTTTGTTTCCAACAAGTCGTGTGAAATAAAAAACGAGCAAAACACACGGCACGAAATAGATGTGATTGACACGACGACCGAAGTGGGTCTTCGTGTTACGCACGACAGACTGTGCAGGGTGCTCGGGAACACCCTGACAAGATTTAACGAGTCGTGGACCGACGAGGTCCCGCGGAATCAACCGGGCAGGTGCACAGGCACCGCTTCTACCAACCACTGGCTTTCGGTCATGGAAGCGGGTTTTCCCTTGGAGTCAATTGGAGGGGTAGGCAAGAGGCACATCCCCGGAAATTGGCTAACGGCGGACAGCTCCTGCGAGAGAGACAGACAGACAGACAGAGACAGAGACAGAACAGACAAACAGACAAACAAGCAGACAGAAGAAAACGAGAGAGAGAGAAAGAGAGAGAGAGATAAAAAAAAGACGAGAGAGAGAGACCATGCAAGAAACGGTGACCAACCGAAATCCGCCACTACTTGGCAACAACAACGACACCACCATCACCATCATCACCATCACCATCACCATCAAAACCATCAACATCATCACAGCGATAACGACAAACGCAACAACAACCTCCGCTATCAACTCACCCTCCGCCCCCGCCGAACATCGGGTGCCCGGGGCCAAGCAGCCCCCCCGGTCCTGGAAGCCCACCACCTTCACCACCAGCAGGACCACCGACACCGCTAGGAAACAGATCGCCGCCAAAATCGCCGCCTCTCCCAGGGAGGAACGGGGTGGGGCCGACGCCGGGGGGGCCCGCGAACCTGCATATCGGTGTATTTAGGGGGGGCGGGGGTGACGTGTACGTAGCTGTGGGACAAGCACACGATGTATTGGAGGTAAAAGGCAACAAACATGCGTCCAGCATGCAGGGGGTATTGTGCACCCTAGTAGTTAAGAAGGGTCAAACGGCAGCGATGTCAACTCCTGGCCCTGATCATACAATTCGATCACGGAGGCGTAACCCAAGCAATTGGGGGCCTACGGTATATGGGTAAAATCGAGGTTGACCGCCTTGCACGGCGGTCCCCGTACAGCAAACATCAAACATCAAACAGCGAACAACAGCAGTCGTGTGAGACTGTACTGAGAAGGTCAGTGGGATGGCAAAGGGCGGTGGGGTAATCATGTGCTTAAACGCATGCTGTGGTTGGTAGACCATTAACCTAGCATCCCAACACTGCCGGGACGGGGCGATATCCCGGGTTTTCGCCGGCCCAGGCTACTACGTTTCACAAGGATGAACCAGAAGCTGGTCATCATCTATGCAATTGCTGCACCAACCAAGATCGGCCACGGGTTGATTGGGCATTCCTGCAAACCAAAAACATTTCACATTCGGCGGGCACAACTACATATGCTTGGATCATTGGGAGCTTGTACCACACAACAGGCGCCACACACAGCAAACACGTCACTTCGTGTGTGATAGTACACTTTGTGGCAAAGGGCGCTGGGGGGGCGGGGGCGGGGAGCGTACTTATGTGGTTGCATGCCATAGCGGTGAGACTATTGACCACGCGTCATCGAGAGTACAGAGCATTGTTCCCACAGGACTTATTTCCGACAGTCAATCGTTCCTTTCCACTTTGCCAAAGGCGATACAATGATGTTTTCCCTAGCCTATCTAGGGCGGGGGGGGGGGGGTCAAACATCGGCGTAGAACCCCCAACAAAAATTCTCTCTACAGTACCTCGGAGGGCCAACCCTAAGGGGATCGTCGTCTTCAGCAGCAGTGCTCGGTATCGCCGGCCGGGCTTTCCCAGACGTGGATGGCGAAAAATTCCGGTCGGGGGCGGCGACGGTTTCGCCCCCCGCCGGTTGCGGCGGCGGTGCGACAACCGGAGGCGCGATGTGCGCCAGGACTTCCCGGCGGAAAACGGAGAAGAGCGTCTGCTCGGGCGCAAGCGGTACACACAGAAAAAGCAAGTAGGGGGGGGGGTGGGCTTTTGGAAGGACGGCCTTCACGAGAAGTTACAATTAATCTAAGGTGTGAAATTGTGCGAACTCTAGCCCCAGCCCTAGCCTTCAATGCCACCCCGTACCCCCCACTAAAACCAATATTAATGTCCTCGTGACGGCTACTGCTTTGGAAGCGGTGAGGGAAAGTATCCCAGTCGTTTCAGCCACGTCGCCACCAAGCATGCCCAACTGATTCATATGCACAGGTGTTCCTGGAACCAGGTATTTACACAATCGCAATCGTGTTCTCCATTGCTGACACGAATGATGGACTTGCTCCACCGCCGTTTTCGGGCACCGTGTCTGACAAAGGTCATCACACTCGCCCCCGACATACACAAGAGCTCTGAACACGAGGACTGGACTCTGTCGTCGTCCAACCTCTGCCACATCCCCTTCTGCTGGAGGAGCGTCCCAACGAGTAGGGGGGGGGTTCGACTTCTAAATCCCGCTTTAAACATCTGGTTTCGTTCTCCTTGGTCAGACAAAAATGTAGATGCGGCCGAATAGTAACAAAAATGAACCGCACGCACACACGCTTATGTCGTTATTCCCGACAGTAGCTTAGCCCCCCCCCTCATGGGGTCCCAGATCATAGCCTTTTGAAGCATTTTCTCTTTTCAGTCGCGCTAAGAATGGCGTAGTTTCGTGGTGGTCGACGCCATAACAAAGATACACACACAAGAACCTACCTCGAAAAAGCCCTCCGATTCAAAGTACTTCGGCCCGCACCGCTCCAGGGGCTCTAGATCAACATCCGCCGACTGTATCTCCCCGCCCTTCTCCCCGAGGAAGAACTGCGCCGGACCCCCCCCTGTGACGGCCTTGAAAAGGTAGACCTTTCCTGTGCGGTCTGGGTGGCGGTAACGGAAGGAAACCGCTGATCGGTCTGCGTCCCTGTTCGAGCCAAGCCGGTGCAAGAGAGAGAGAGTGGTTTGTGTGGTACCGAAAGGCCGTGCGAGGCGCCGCAGCGTAAGGTAAGCGTGCGTACGGGACGCACGGTAGTAGATTTGATCGCGGCAGTGCGGGAGGGGGGCGAGGGGGGGCTTGGAGGCGGTGTAAGAACCGACTGGGTATCCATACATGGCCATCAGAGCGGTGGGCATGCCGTTGGAAACAAAACTGTCAGCAAGTCCAGTGATACGGAAAGAGCTGGGGGTGTTACTTTCAATGCGAACCGCGGAGCGCTGTTGCTACTGCTGTGGTGACGGATTTGCTATGGGGCGCGCTCTCGTACCGTGAGACCGGACACGAACAGAGAGAGGGGAGGGAGGGGGGGTGCTCATGTTTTGCCGTTTGCATGCCTTCGCGGTTAGACCGTTCACCACGCGTCCTCGAGAGGACGGAGCAAGGCGGGGGAGGGGGGGGGGGNGGGGGGGGGCGGGGTACTCATAGTCGTGCATGCCGTAGTCGATTGACCATTGACCTCGCATCCCTGCAAAGCTGGGGCGGAGCACGCCGTGTTCTCACCTGACCAGGAGCAGGGCGGGGTGGAGGGGGGGTCCACTCTGCATAGAAGAATAATACACTAAATATGTAATTCTTCGAAGTATGCACAGTAGTAGTGTGGTGTGGTGAAGTGGATGGATCAAGGAACGCCTTCTCACCAGCGGTCGGGCACGAGCTTCTCTTGAGGGACGTCCCTCACAGGGGCAGCGAAGCCCTTGATGGCTCCCGCCTTGTCGTCCTGCCCGGTGCAAACGAACCCTTCCGTCACCAGAAGGCAGTGCAGGGCCAGCGCCGAGGCGTGCAGAGCGGACTCCGGAGTCACTCGGGCTCGGTAGGCCTATTCATGTTGGGGGGGAGAGTGGGGGGGGGGGGNGGGGGGGGGGGGTCAAGGTGTAGTTCACAACATCAAAGGTCACAGCCAGCGATTTGGCGTGCGAGCGGACTTGAGTGTCACGCGGGCTCAGCACGCCTATTGGCGGAGGGGTCGGAGATGGGGGTTTCAGGTGTGCCTACAACGTCAACCAAAACTCGTAGCCAGGAAATGTGTCGCGAGGAGGTGGTAACCTTACCAAGCAGGTTGTCGCGGCAGCAAGTGTTTCGATACCGCAAGCAACGACTTCACTCATGGAGAGGACATAACATCGAACTGTCGAGGGCTCCATATTGTTTGTTCTTGTTTTGCATCACTTTGAATCAGCGCTTACAGCATTTCTGCCGAGGACTCCATGGAGAGCGAAATAAGCCAATGGGAGGCGGTTCAAAGCATTGCCTTTGCCACCTCAAGCACTGCTGCGTGTGAGTGCATGTGTTGCGTGACATAGCAGGGCAAGCCACTCTTCGACTTAGCCCAATCCCCCGCCATCATCAAGACTTGACTGACAGCAGTTCGAATCAGCAAGGCAAGGAAAAGCAGGGCAAGGAAAGCAAGCAAGTGGTTCTGGCGAAAAAACATACCTTGCTGAGGACCACTCCCGTCGCCGAATCGCTAGGCGTGAAGCTTCCCTCTCCTCCCGCTGCCGATCCTGACGTCGACGTCGCCTGTGTTAGGGAACCATCATCATCATCAGCGCAGAAGCAGCATCAGCACGACCATCATCAACAACGTCAACATCACCGGCAACAACAACAGCAATAATGGCGGTTCGAAAGATGGCGGTTGCCAACGGGATGTGCGCATGTGTCTCGCTCTCTCCTCTCGCACCGTGTGACTTGTCTCATCAATCTGGCTGTCTCTCTGTATCTCTATGTAACGGTAGGTCTCCCTCTCTCTCTCTCTCTCTCTCTCTCTCTCTCTCTCTCTCTCTCTCTCCTCTCCCACCATGTGTTGTCTTATCTGTCTGTCTACCTATCAATCAATCTATTTGTCACCCTCACCGTCATTGTCGGTACCGCTCGCACTCGTCCCTGGTCTGCACCACCAAGACCAGCACCACCACCAGCACTACCCCCGCTGTTGGACCGCAGGTGCCCCCAAAGCTGAGACTGCACCTCACTGTCGATCCCCTTGAGCGCCTCCTCAAGCCGCCGCTTCACCAGCCCCGGCGGCAACCGGGAAACAGACGCACTGGCGGTTTCAAGGTGCCCCCTCGAGGCCTCGAGCTCTGCGATGACACGGGGGCCACCGTGGTGGTGAATGGGCCGGTTGGATGGTTGTTGTTGCGGTTCCTTCAAGTGATAGCATGGTCAATGGCGATGTGCACCTTCCGGCAATTTGATGGCCTACCATGCAGCTAGGGTTGGTGAAATAATGATTAAAAAATGTTTAAGTTCGCGCGCAAACGAGCGGACAGTAAGTCTAGGGAAACCTGCCTCGAGAGCCAGTCTTGTCTACAAACATACACCATTTCTTGCGCTCGAAATCAACCTGTGCAGTAATGAGCGGACGGAGAATGCCAACACGTGTGGCAATTTCGGCCCCCCGGGAGTGTGCTCTGTCACCTGATCCCGCTGTAGATGTACTGCTCATTGTGCCTACAACGATCGTCGAGGTGCGCGTGTACTGCATGTGCCAGTGTCAAAGGTACATTGGATACATACACCGATTTGACCTGACAGAGCAGCAAGAGAGAAGCAGCGAGGATATCCAAAGGGTCTCACCGCTACTGCTACTGCGGGTGGACAGGCAGGCAGGCACACAACGCCCCCACATGAAAACTTTGTCGCAGCAGTCGTTTCACGCTTCTGCTGTGGGGGGCAATGTATCTCTTGGTGTGTTATGTACATAGGCATCAGGACGACATTTTGCAAACCTGTCTCCTGCCCTCGATCATGTTTCGGCCCACTTTCAGCGAAGAACGACACACATTATGGTGCGCTCGAGATTGCACTCGGGTGCTTTGGTGCTGTCTGTTGTGTGCGGTGTACACAGCGTCGACACAGCTCTAGGTTCGAAGAGATACCGGAGGGGGGACGTGATGGGATAAGTCTGGACACCAACAACCTGAGAAACACACGTAGCCGTTCCGTGACGGCTGGACACACACGAACGGACAATACCTTCGTTGGCCTTGCTTGACACATATTAAGTGTTTCTTCGGCTGCTGGATGTTATGACGTTATGTCTATCGGGATCAGCTGCTAGAACGCGCACTAGAACGCGCACAGCTGTGCGACACTTGCGAAATGCACTTGCGAAAGGCCCCAACAAACGGCGTGTGTTCGAAGCAAGGTCGCTCAAGCTCTGAGACACTCCACGTTCAGGACCGGTCCCAGGAACGCTGCTCAAGTTACCGTGTCACAAACGTTACGATTCAATTTCAACAGCGATACATTCACACACGAGCAGAGCCATCACACCGAGGTGCCACAACAACAGCGCTTAGTGCACTTCCCCCCCCTGCCATTGCGTGTCAACTGCCGATGTGTCAATGAGTCAACACGGGAGTCATCAAGGAGCCAGCAGGGAAAAGGGACAATCTCCGCACAACCCAACTCTAAAAATAACTTGCGTTTTTGGAGCGAATCTATTCTTCATCATTAGGGCGTACAATACAACCACGCCGTTCCCATACCTTCAGCGGAGAGCAATGGAGACGCCGACTCAGCCATCTTGAACTAGCGTCTTATCGCGTTGCGTGGCAGGGACTGCTGTGTCTGGTGGTTTGTTTGAGTTGGACGACGGGGGCTCAAGATTGGGTAAACATTTCCGGACGATAGACTACTGCTTTCGGCGTGGATTCCTAGCTGCGTACACGAAATCATTTTGAGAAGAGAGAAGAGACACGCGCGTTCGTCACACAGACATCTCACGTACATCAAACCCAGCTCGCCCGTCGGCGTATGTTCGGCGCTACTGTGCGCAGTGGGAAGGCTGCAATGCGGCTCACGAGACCGGATGACACAGACTACCAGGCCATGCTGGACGGAGAGGCAGGAGAAGTAGAGCCTCACCAGCAGCAGGCATCGATAATCCGCCGCAATGATCCAGCAGCAGCAGCAGCAGCAGCCTCCTCTGCTGGCGGACCGGCGGACCCAGCAGCAGACGGGGCGGGGGCAGGTAAGGGGAGGAAGTCGAAGCTCTACAGCGTGGCCGGGTACATCATCGTGACGGAGTTCTGCGAGAGGCTCGCGTACTACGGCTTCTCAGGTAGCCCGCGTCATGTGTTCGTGTTTGTTTGCGCGCGGCGACATGGCCCACAACACACATTTTTCTTGCTCTCTTTCTTTCTTCATCGTGTGCACTGGTGGGTGTGACTCGAGACTCGACACTCGAGACCACCAGGGGGGCCCTGTTGTGCTCTCAGGCTACTGCTGTAGCTAGAGGTCGACGATCGAGTGCTGCCTGCTGTTAGCGTTGATGTTCAACAGCAACAAGGGTACAGCAGTAAATGTATTTGAAAGTAAAACAGCGCTAGTAGTGCAGTGTGCATAGATACAAGTAACGGCGGTTCGAAGGCAAACGCTACAATACCTGAATGTCACAAACGCGCACGTGTAAACGTGTAAGCGACAACAATCTATGTAAGCTGGTCATGACCGATGAAAGCATTCTGATAGACAATTCATTGTGTTTCTTGTCACCCCATTGTCGTGTTCAAAGCAGAGAAACCACTTATTATACATACCAACACGGCTTGGGCACGCATGGCCTTTGCCAAGTTGAGGTCAACAGAACCCGTCTTTTTCGAATTCAAATTCTGATTCTTTTGGCCCTTCATCTGCACATCGTTACATGAGGCAGTATACCAGACGAACACCAGTTCGTTGTCATGAATAACTCGCACACACGCTTCAGCGCACACATGAGTGCCTGCATCTCACGCACAACCCATCGACATGCATGCAAGCCGCGTAAGAACGTCATCTCCCGCGCACAGCCCACGCGCCTCAATAAAGTTCTTGTGCATAGGTATGCCACTCACCGTACGTTGCGTAGGATATCACACCCCCTGGACCGATCCCCAAAGCTCGATTACTCCACGACGAACAAAGAGCATGCCGAGTCCGAATGAGACGTCTTAGGAAAGCCATCTCTCGACGAGACGGTTCCAACGGCGCCATTTTCGGCATCGTAACTGCTTTTCCTGCAGAGAAATCGAGCTTCGAAAACCGGTTCAGGGAGGGTGATATCTTGTGCAACCTACGGTAGTGCCAATCAATGCATCGTGCTGTCGCTTGGCATCCGACGTATGTACAGGAGTACTGCTGTAACTTTTTTTTTTTTTATTCTTCCCGAGCACGGAGCAGTCTGGCCAGTCTGGAGCGAAGTTTGGAGCTATGTTCTGTTACAGCAGCAGATGCAGATAATGATACCCGTTGGAGATAACACGACAAAACGAAAGTCAATCCATGTCGAAGGCCCTGTTGCACTCTCTAACAATATAATAGTAAGCAGCATGCACACGTGACAGCAGCAGTACAATATGAACCGCCTTCGCGCGGTTAATGAGTTTATGAGGATAGACAACAGTTTTAAAGGGGGGCGCAGACCCTATCCCTAACCCTGAGCCAACTTCCCAGATTGTGTGCTTTGTATCCAACATGTTTACATGATACGAAAAGCTCTGCCAAGGTTACTGTTATACTTCATATTTCGCATTTGTGATGATTTCGCATTTCCGAATTGTGCATCTTGTTGGTATTCGTTGGCCTGCTGTGGCCAGGGGAAGGTGCCGGCGTGTCGTCTGGACGTGAAGACACCAACGGCACCAACGGCACCACCTCACAACATCGTTCGAGTTTGGGTACCAGTCTACGTATACCTCGATGCATGTTTTTTTTTATCCTGCTCCTAACCAAGTCTGGACACTTGTACAGGGTCCCTCGTGCTACTCTTCGAGAAGGAGCTCGGGTACACCAACGCCGAGTCCGACACTCAGTTCGCCCTCTGGTCCGGCGTGTGCTACGTCATGCCCCTGTTTGGCGGCTGGATCGCCGATAGCTACCTGGGTGAGTTCTCTAGGCATTCGCAAGCGCTGAGCACAATTTTGTGATGCTGGCCTTTCGGCTCTTGCTATTCGCGTGATAAGCACATCGCCACTTTTCAGCATGAAGAATACTTGAGGATTCTGACTTAAGCGGCCTTCAGTTTATGCATGCGTTGTCCCGTTTCGGGAAGGACTCGGGGTCCACGGTTACAACCGACGAGCCAAGTGAGTACCCCGTGCCCCTGACCCCGTCCCCTCCCCCACCCCTGCCGCGCTGGACTTTCAGCTCTCCTTCTCTAGTTGGGAAACGTCACCATGTCTTTCCTCATCGCATCTCGCTGGTAACTGAATCCCCCCCCGCCCTCCTCCTTTTTACTGCTTCAGGCCGGTACCACTCTATTCTGTGCTTTTCGGTAATTTACTTGGTCGGGCTGTTTGTCGCGGCGGCCTCCTGCGTGCCCGGGTCGGTCTCGCCCCTTGTGCTCTTCCCGGCCATCTACCTGCTGGCCCTCGGGACTGGGGGTAAGCGCTTCCGATCCACATGACGCATGCGCCAACCTTAACCTTGACTCCTCCGATCTCGCGACGCACGCGCCACGTGTAGCCTCTCGTGTGACGGTGGAGTAACGATAGTCTGCCTTGCTTAGAGCGTGTCGTCGATTATCGTGTATTTGCGTGTAGCACTGAACCTGTATTTTTCTCCGGGTGTGTTTACTGGCATCGACCGCGCTATCCGGCTAGCCATTAAGAACACCTCAGTCTCAGCGCAGCTGGAAAACGAAAAACTTGGAAAGACCATGATGCCATGATCGGGGACCCTGTTGTTTTTTGGCATCTCTGATGCAGGGTACGACAAGGGGTGGCTGAATCTTTTTCGCGATGACGATCGAAGGAAAGGGAAAGTATCTCAAAAGCAAGGCCGAGAAAATCTAGAACAAGACAACAAGACAGCCGTAGCATGTTTCGTTTTTGCTTGTTTGTCAAGTTCTTGAGTACCTCCCATGCTCACGTTCCTCCTCTGGGTGATGCGTCCAAGCACGATGTACCGAAAGTCCGGATAAGATGGCTGGACGACAACACACAGCAGCAGAGAGTTTGTCCACAAGCGTAAACCAAGAAGGAAGAATGTAGGCTCTTCGCTGTTGGCGCTTTGTAATCCAACTTCGCAGCAACGAGTCTTGAATCGACCTCGTTGTAAGTCTCCTCCTTCCTTTTGTGTGTGTGGTACGGCCGGTATCGTGTTGTTTGGTGCAGGGATAAAGTCGAGCGTGAGCGTCTTCGGGGCGGATCAGTTCGACGAAGACGACCCGGCAGACGTCAACGAGAAGCAGTCTTTCTTCAATTGGTACGCTCGTGGTTGGGTGTGGTAGCATCCTTTGGCTTGTGTTGTTTTCTGTCATTTTCTGGTGGGTGTTTGGTTGTTATTTGGAGTTGTTTTGGGCGGCTTTTGTGGCTGGGGAAGGGTCGCTCTCTCTGTTGTTGGTTTACACCTACCTTCACTTCACCCAGCGGGGAGTTAGAGGTACAGCACTCAGTAGAGACGTAAGCGCGCCGTTTTTCGATGTGCAGTCAACAATGGCAAATAGCTACAGCAACGACAGCAGCGGCAGCAGTAGCAGCAGCAGCAGCAACAACACCACCAACAACAACAACACCAACAACAACAACAACAACAACAACAACAACAACAACAACAACAACAACAACAACAACAACAACAACAACAACAACATACATCAACAACAACAACAACATACATCAACAACATCAACAACATCACCGCCAACGACACCAACAACATCACCGCCAACGACACCAACCAAGAACCAACGATTCCACCGGCAGGTTTTACTGGAGCATAAACCTCGGGGCCTTGGTGAGCTTCACTCTGGTGTCGTACGTGTGCCAATACGGGCTGCCGTTTCTAGGGGGGCCAGACTGGGGCTTCATGGCCGGATACTCCATTCCCTGCATCGCCATGTCCTTGGCGCTAGTGGTCTTCTTGGCGGGGACACCCAAGTAAGAGAAGGGCACCCGACTAAGACGAATGCTCGTATAGTCCAACTCAATAAGACCAACACCCAACAGAGCAAGTACGAGAGGAGCACCCGACTAAGACGAATTCTCGTATAGGAGCGGCATCTGAGTAAATATGACGAACACCCAACAGATTAAGTAAGAGAGAGGCGCCCGACTGACAAATGCTCGTATAGGATCGGCATCCGATTGAGACAAACACCCAACGTAGAGGTGTCACCCAAGTAAGAGAGAAGCACCCGACTAAGACGAACGCTCGTATAAGGGCGGCACCTACTAAGACACTCACGTAAGAGAGACGCGCTGGGGTAAGACAAACACCCAAGTAAGAGATTCACTCCAAGTATGACGAAAAACTACTTAGGAGAGTCGCCCGAGTAGGGGGGGGGCACCAGGGCAAGACCACACACGTGCCTTCCGAGAACATGCTGCTGTACATGAGTCTCTATTGTTGTTGTCGTCGTCCCTCCTCCCTCCTACTAGGTACCGCCGGTTTCCACCATCCGGTAGCGTCGTAAGCCGAGCCGCGGGGGTCGTGACCGAAGCCTGCCGCAAACGGTGCAACGCGGCGTGGGTTGGAGTTGCCGGCCAGGACGGAGCTGCGGGCGGCGAGTGGCAAACCGCGAGGATACAGGCGGGCGGGGGCGGGGCGGGGGAAGAAATGCTGGAGTGGCTGCAGAGTGCGAGCGAGCGATCGGGGGGTTCGTATTCGCACGATGAGGTAAGCGCGCGTCGGCTGTTGTTGTCTACTGCTGTGGCACGTGGAGCTGACATCTTTGCGGTACTCCATGACCACCGCACGGTAGGTGACACACGATAGTCGCTGCCCCTGGACTAATTTTGAAAGCTCGATTGCGCCACTCAGCAGAATGAGTGGCGATACCGAACACGGCGGCGTTGGAACCGTCTCGTGCAGGGCTTTCCGAGAAGGTATCGTTTGGTTTATTATCCACATCCTCTCCACCGTTGAGTATCCGAGCTTTTCGGTCACGAGTTGTGGTATCTTGTGTCACCTACCTACATCCCGGGTGGCACCGTGATAACACGACCCGTGACCGACCCTCCCCTCCCCGGCAGGCAGGTTGTGGGAGGGCGTTCACCATTCACTCCCTTTGTACTTCATGACAAAGTGCGGATGTGGGCGGCTTTGGTTTGTTTCCCTCCCGAGCGTTCAACCCGCTTTCTCCCTCTCTTTGTTGTGTATTTCGTTTGCGTCAGTGTAGCATGTCACAAACATAGTGTCCCGAGGAGGTCACAGTGACTGTGGATGGTCGCCTCGTCACGTGACGATCACAAAATATCCGACGAACATCTCCGGAGCCATGCATACGTGTTGCTTCTCTGCCTCTTCTAAAGGCGACAACTCAACGCTGATCATCTCCGATAACCACATCTCCGATGACAATACCCGCCATCTCCGATAATCATTTTCACACCGACGACAGTCTCCGATTGCCGCATCTCCGAGTGTATGCACACCTTACAAGATGGCCATGTTCGATTCTATCGTAGGTTGCCTAAGATACCACGCCTTCTGGGCCGACTTTCAATCCTCGCTCGGCAGGAAAACCAGTGATGTTGTCAAGTGTCGGCGTTGGAACTATCTCGTCGAGAGCTTTCCGAAAACGTACCGTTTGATTTCGGCACTTCGTGGAACAATAGAGGTTTGAATTTCGGTCCATTGGGTGTGATATACTTGAAGTATTATATTACATCATGCAACCTACGGCAACTCCCTTCCACAAACCCTAGGAACTGCCTCTATAATAGTCGAGAGGCTTTCCGGTATAATTTGATTTGGCATCGTGGAACAATACGGTGGTGTGAAATGCGGTCCACAGGGGGTGTGTGGTGTCTATGCAGCCTACTCATCTAGAGTGTCTGTCGTTGATTTCTATTGACTTGCGGACCCTTGCGGTCCAACTGATTGCAGTATGCCTTTCTACGGTGAGTTAGCCTGTTAAGACGGGAGGAATCGACCGCGTCAAGTGTTAGATTGGTACGGACAGATGAAGGTACTGGTAGGGAGATCGGAGCGTTTGTTCGTGTGAAGACAGTTACAACAACAGTTCTTATGCAGCCTACGGTAACACTTTCCCACGCCCGCTACCCTGTCCCACGTACCAACGCTGTCGGCCGGCCACGAACACTGCCGAGAACAGGTGGTCGCCGTGTCGCGGGTGTGGAAACTGCTGCCCTTCTTGGCGCTGCAGGTGCCCTACTGGGCGGTCTACGCCCAGATGGGAACGGCCTTCCAGAACCAGGTGAGACCATACAGACGCATTTCGCGCGTTTAGCATGTACCCAATCCTTGTACGTTCGTACGTATGTCGACGAGTCGACGGCCGGTTGCATCCCTCTCCCTCCTCCTCTTCCCCCTTGTCGCTGGAGTTTTCGGTCATTAGTGGATGCAGGTGGTGAATGTTGATGGAAAAATCTCCACTCGTCGTATGTCCATGAAGGAGGTAAATATTGTTGGGATTATCGACTCGTAGTATGTCCGTGCAGGGGGTGAATATTGTCGGGAAAACTCTCAGCCCGTGATATCTCCATGCAGGGGTGCATCTTGTTGGAATGCTCATCTCGCAATGACGTCAAAGGTCAAACGTCACACACGAACTCCCCCCCCCTACCCCCCCCCTCCGGCGGCGCTTTCCGAACGATGATTTGTTCTCCAGGGGTGCCAGATGGACCTGTCCGTGCTCGGCTTTGACATACCAGTGTCCACGCTTAACATGTGAGTCGCACCCAACCACGCTCGCGATCGCTTCGCCTGATCGGTGGTATGCTAGCAACGGTGTTACCTCTGTAGAGTGGTCCTAATTTGTGTCTTTCTAGGCAACGCTTGGCTTTTTGGACTGGCCCGTCTCTTGTAGGCACACTTTGGGTGGTTGGATGGTTTGAGACGGGAAATGAGCGAGCTGTTGGTTGGTCTCATGTTGTGTTTCTTGGGCGAAAATTCTCACACGCTTGACCAGCTAGCCGATTGATTGTGGGAAGAAGGCACCGCGATCGCATAACGAAACTGAACGTTCGACCTGGTAGCCCTCTCAGATCTATCGGGGGTCATGTTGGCTGCTATTTATGCTGTCCATGGTTTTGGACAAAAACCTCAAACGCCCCCGCATTTTCCCTCCACCCCCCCCTTCCCCCCTCGCTTGTTCCCTTGCTCCCTCGCCCCCCCCCCACTTTCGTTTGTTCGTCCTGTTTCTAACCCCCTTCCTTCCTTCCTACCTACCATTTGTCGTGGGCACGCGCTCTGTTACCACTGGAAACGTGCGTGTGTACCGCCCGCCCTCGTCGTAATTACATCCCGCTTCACTCCACCTTCACTCCAAGGTTCGACACTCTGGCCGTGTTGCTGCTCATACCCGTCGTGGACGGAGTGGTGTACCCTTGGCTGCGACGGACGGGGTGCGAGCCTACCATGCTCCGCAAGATCGGCTCGGGCTTGCTGTTCGCGGGGGCGGCGGTGCTGGTGGCAGGGGCGGTGGAGATCGTCAGGCGAAATCACGTCGACCACGGGGATGGGGCCGTCTTGTCCCCGTGCCGAAAGTGAGCAAGAAAGATAACGGGACGGGGTAGTTGTAGTTTTTTTTTTTTTCAAGATCTGGGGAGAAGGTGGTGTGGGTTGTTCTTGTTGGGCGTGTTTCGCGGGGATGGGGCTGTTGTGTCCCCTCCCCTTGTGGGTGGCGGGGAGGTTTGTGCGGAGGGAGTTGGCCTGCTGCTTGTGATGGTGATTAACTATTTACCTTTGCTCAGCTGTGTTGAGGTTGCTCTGCGCTGGTATTGCTGCTGGGAGATTGAGCGTGAGCTTAAATGCCTCGGAACTGCAACAGGACTGGAACAATCGGCAGCGACTTGTTTGTGTGACCAATCCAAAGGCGCACCCAGGTTAGGACCCGGTTAGAGACACACCTCGGATTCCTCTCGGTGGCGCGGTACCACAAAGGTTTAAACGTGTCCATATGTCACAGTGCAACATGTCCACGCAGAGCCGTTGCTCGAGTCATCGATGTTCATGCAGAGCCGTTGTTCACTAGAGGCCAAGAAGAAAGTAGTCCTGTTTGGGTATTGCCGGACGGGTTATACCCCCCCCCCCCCCCC